TCCATCTGTCTCTCCTGCGAGAAGTAATCACATCCCTTTTCTCCTGTAGTTGTGGTTCTCGCTGCCCCTCTGATTTTTCCTAAGGGACTCGAGGCTCTTTGGAGGGCGGGGAACCTGTAATCCTTCGTGTTTGAACCCTCAACACCTTATGTAGACCGCAGTCAGTAAGCGCTGACTGAATTACGTTTTCCTTTAAACTAACTAGAATATCCAAAAGATAGCGTGGGAGACAAACCAGGCCTGTTCTCCATCTTCGCCCTCAAAATGTGTCTAACCCACCCCCGCTCCCCGGCTGCACATTCCCTCGGCCTCCACCCCAGGTCGGCTGACCTGGCTCACTCGGAGAGGCTGTGGGCCAGCCTGCACTGACAAACGTCTGGGTGCCCTGGCGGGCGCAGCACGCCCCTTCTCTCCCTCACCTGTCCGACCCCTTGATGGCCGTGTTGGACTTGACCCGAAAGGCCTTGGCAAACATCTCTGCTGGAGTGGCCTGGGGAGGGGAAGGAGAGCACAGAAGCCGGGGCTGTCAGGGAAACGAGAACGCGGACGCTTCCCGACCCGCAGCCATGGGCGCAGCCATGCTGGGGCCCAGCTGGAAAAGGGGCCCGGCTGGAAACCTGGGCCGCTCGGCTTCGCGGCTGCAGGCGCTGCGGGGACCGCGGCCGCCCCTAGTGGCAAGGCCGGGAACTGAAGCAGGCCGGGCGGGGCCTGGGGAAGGCGGGGCGGATTCCCGCTCCGGCGCCCTCCCTCGGCCCGGCTCTGCGCCTGCGCGAGCTGCTGGCGTTTGCAGGGGTGTATTGACCAGGTAGTGGCCACCTTGACTTGGTTAATTTCCACTCGGTCGGTGTTAGGTTGCGTTCCGTCGGTACTGTGTCAGCCTGTGTGCCATTCAGTTTAGTTCAGCTCCAAAAAATTAATTGAACTCTTGTGTTCTATTAGTTTTTCAGGCCTCTCGAATTATTTTAAGGGCTTTTGTTTATTAAAGTCTTTACATTTTATTGTATGCTAGAGGTCTCAGGATTTTCTCCTTGTTTTTAAATTTACGTGAAATGGTAACAATAACAGAGAATCCACCTTTGTCCCAGGTTTGCCCCGCATGTTATGAGGAGAAAACTACAAATGATCTTCAAAGCTATTTAAGAATATTTTTGGCCACTTTTAGGTAAACTTTTCAAAGCGTTATTGCTTTTTGAGTTCAGCCGTTATCTGGGGAGGGGAGGTTGTTTCCAAAACTAATGAAATAACCTTGCTTATAAAAAAAGTATCTGTGAGACAGACTGGTTTCAAATTATGGTTTGGCTTTTCCCTAGCAATGTGATCATGGGCCAACGGCTTATTTCTGAAACTCCTGCCTTCTCTGAAAGATATGGATGTAACACCTACCTCAGAGGGTTTCCATTAGGAAGCATGGAGGTAATGTATGTGATACGTTACACAGTGCTTTGCAGAATTCCAGTAATATATTTAAAAAGTCTCCGACAGGGGTGAGAGACTGGGTTTCCCTGAGAGGGGCTGCTGTGCACACCTGGGGTTCGGGCCCCTACTAAATCAAATTTTGCAGATGAAAAGTTAAGGGCAGAGAGTCCATCCACCAAAAAAAAAAAAAAAAAACCCAATTGTTTGATTGGATGACACAGTTACACAAAGAAAAATTCCACATTGTCCAAAGATGAGGCCTTCCACAGTGTCTGCCCACCAGCACCATTCTTGGAGGGGATCCTAATCCCACCTAGCCCCCCACCCCCCGCCCCCAATTTGGGTTCCTCCCACACTTCTGACCCACTAGACTTTTCTTCTTTTATTTGAGAGAGAGAAGGAGAGAGAGAGAGAGAGAGAGAGCATGAGAGGGGGTTGGGTCAGAGGGAGAAGCAGACTCCCTGCTGAGCAGGGAGCCCGATGCGGGACTCGATCCCGGGACTCCAGGATCATGACCTGAGCCGAAGGCAGTCGCTTAACCAACTGAGCCACCCAGGCGCCCACTAGACTTTTCTTCTGAAGCATCCCAGCCACAAGGCCAAAGTCAGAGGAGCCCAGAGGAGGAACATACCACAGAACCTTCTCCCTTTGGGCCACTACCCAGCAACACTTCCCGGGTGTGTGTGTGTGCGGGGTGGGGGTGGGGGGGTGTGATGCCAAACTGTGTTGTTGACTAGGTCGATTGCAGCACAGCTGCTGAGGCAGGCTCTGCCCAGGTTGCTGAGGAAGGTTATTCCCGGGAATATTGGAAATAGATACTAAAATTAAATAATAAATATGAAAACACATTATAGATAAATGTGTAAAATAATCTCCCTTCTCTATGAAAAAAGGCGATTAATGACACTGGAAGGATGTCAGAAACTAAGAAAAATAGAACTTTATTAAATGAGGGAACAGATATGATGGAAGTAAGACTACTGCTCATACTTCTCATATTACTTTGACTTTTGAAGCCTGTAGGTGTTTGGACCACCTGGGTGCCTCAGTTGGTTAAGTGTCTGACTCTTGGCTTTCAGCTCAGATCATGATCTCAGGGTGGTGAGATTGAGTCCCACACTGGGATCTGCTCCGCTGGGAGGAGTCTGCTTGAGTTTTTCTTTCTCTCCCTCTGCTCATCCCCCCTTTCTCTCTCTCCCTGAAATAAATAAATAAAATCTTTTTAAAAATGTAGGTGTTTTTCATATTTTTAAGTTTAGCTTAGAAGAGGAAGAAACAAAATCTAAAACTGAGAAGAAAATACTAACGCAAATAAGTGTAAAGCTCTATTAACCAGAGTTAAGAATTATTTCAAGTCATTTTTGAAGAGAGTACTTACACTCACAGTCAAACATCCTGGGATAAAATAAGTGCAAAGACATTTTAAACTTCATTCAGCAGTTTAACTGCTAATAGTAATGTTTACAGTATACTCTTAATATTATTTTTAAAAATTCTGAAATATAAGAAATATAAAAATATATGAATAAAGAGAAAAGACAGAAAGTGTATTTAGAAGTTTCTTAGCCCTGTATTATTTATAACTCTGAATTGTAAGATCCAATAGGAGCCAATGAATTTTAAATTTCATTTCTATTTCAGATTTCTGACAAGCAAAAAGACATTTAATGACATTCCCATCTAGTACCAATAACACAGTTCTTGTATTCTAAACACTATTTCCCAATAAAAAGAATCAGAACTTTTTGGAAAGCTGTATGATTACGGGTGTTGGTCAGGGAAGTATATAGTGAGCCTGGAACATTCTGTTGTGCTAAAAAGAAATGAAACACTCAGAAACTAGTGGGTATAACAAAGCAATCAGGAGCCAGTTTCAAGAGGCACTCACTAGCCAAATTTGGGATAATTTGAGCTTCAAAGAATAATGACTATAATTGTTTGTGACAAATTGAATAAATAAAAATTCATGAATCCATGCTGATAGAATGTTAAAAAAAGAAAAAAAGACAAAACCTTTTAAGCCATCACAGGTCGGTCGCTATCATCAAGTCCTTATTCCCAAAACTGGAAATTAAAGAGCAAAAATAAAGATTTACCAAATCTTTTTAGGTAAAAGTTTAAGAAGTTGGGATATTAACACTCACCTTTACATAAGACAATTAATAAGTGCAGAAAAAGAATAGAATTTGTCTTAAAAATCACTATTTTGCAGCCAACAATGAAAACGATTAGTTATAGGCTGTACTGATTACAGGTTAAGTGTCCTAAATAGATTCCACAAGCATTAGGTGAAAGGTTTTGGAGAAATAGTATATATACTAATATTAACAGCAAAGATAACTTGCCAATTGTAACAATGTCCTTTAAACATGAGAAAACTGGCTGTCACTTGTGATTCAGATTTAGATAAACTGGCTCCATTATAGACAGCCAGGTTACTCATTCTAAGAATGCCACTTGATTTGATGCAAAATGAAGTAACAAGATATCACCTTAAGATATATTTACCTTAATTATATCTTTATTTTCATCTTAAACTTTTCATGTTTTTGTAGAAGTTAAAAATGTTTATAGTCAAGTGATTTTAACTAATTATGTTGTTTGAAATGTATGAACATAAAAATCATATTTCAGACACTTGCGGTTGAATGTTTCCAAAACCAAATCATGAAGATGTCATTAGATTTGAAGATCATTACCAAAGAGGTCCCCATAATTCTCAACATATATTGCCTTACTTTTAATATATCTTTATTTTATTTTATTTTTAAAAAGATTTATTTACATATTTAAGTAATCTCTCCACCCAACGTGGGGCTCGTACTCATGACCGTGAGATCGTGAGCACACTCCACTGGATGAGCCTGCCAGGCACCCCATTAAAATAACCACCTTTACTGTGGTTCAAAGCTGATACATATTAAAGATAGAAAACATGGAAAATACAAGTGAGCCGTAAGGACTTAATCACCAACTCTTACCCCTAGCATCTCTAATTCAGCTGTAGTTATTATAAATATTTTATTGTACTTCCTGACAATCTTTGTTCTATACACATTTATGTGTGTCCAAAGCATACTATGTATTTGTGTGTATGTGTGTGTGCATGTGTGTGTTTATACTTGATATCAGATTTTTTTGGGTCACTTTTCATGTTATATTATGACAGTTAGGTATGTACCCAATGAGATTCTAATTTCTCTTTATGATTTGTTTGAATTTTTATGTGTGCTAGATAGCCATCTTGTAGAAGATCTTGCATTTCATCATTTGGTGGATAAGCAAAAGTAGATAATAACTGCTTATATCTGGTAGATAAGGAAAAGCTAATAATAACTACTTACATCTTATTACTAACATAGGTATGACATAGTTATATTTGTATGTATTTTTGAAGTAAAATTATATTAAAGATGGAGAAAAGCATTTTCAACCATTTCCTCTGAAATGGAGAGTCTCAGGCAGCCCCAGAAGTTACGGAAGAAGCTCTGAGAAAGTTAGAGGGAAAGATGGATGGCAGTAGGCACTGGAGTGATTGAATCTAATTTCTTGCCATAGATATTTTATGAGTAGGACACAAAGCATTTTGGTTTGCCAAATTTTAATGAGGTGCTTTTAAGAAGTGATTTATTCATCTCTCTGATTATAATTACATCATCCACAAAATATTTAATACAACTTCTGATTTATGAATATAAATGAGTTACACAATACTTGACAAAATAAACAGAATTGGATTGATAATGAAAAATTCTGAGTAAATGTACATATTTTAATTTTAGGACTGCATCTTCACCACTATATTCCTGAACATTCAGGATACGTCAGTTTCCCTTCCCGACAGGTGGCTCGGAATGTATGCGGCGGGGTCTTTTTACGATATCCAGAGATACATTCAAATTCAATAACATCCCTTGTTTTAGAATAAATTTTTGTCTCAGAAGACCATCGTAATCGTATATTATGTGTTCTCATGATGTCTTCTGATACTGTACAGGCCTCTGAAGATAAAAAAAAGAATATAAAACATTGAAAACAGAATTTCAGACTTTTTTTTAAAAGATTTTTCTGACTTTTCTTTTTTTAATTAAAAAATTTTAATTTTATGTTAATCACCATACATTACATCATTAGTTTTTGATGTAGTGTTCCATGATTCATTGTTTGCATATAACACCCAGTGCTCCATTCAATATGTGCCCTCTTTAATACCCATCACCAGGCTAACCCATCTCCACACCCCCCTTCCCTCTAGAACCCTCAGTTTGTTTCTCAGAGTCCATAGTCTCTCATGGTATGTCTCCCCCCCTGCCGATTTCCCCACCTTCATTTTTCCCTTCCTACTATCTTCTTTTTTTTTTCATATAATGTATTATTTGTTTCAGAGGTACAGGTCTGTGATTCAACAGTCTTACACA